AATCAGATGAATCATATTTATTTTAGAATGGTATTAGTGAGAAATTTCTTAGGCGGAGAGGCCATTTTGGCACATTTCCCCATAAATGTCACCAAACTGTGCCAAATATGTTTTTTACATCAATACTGGGGGTTTGGTAAAATTACGAGGTCATGTAGCAGCTGGACCCACCGGTGGGTCCGTAGGGTTCAAGGGTTTAAGGTAACACTTCTTATATAGGAGGGGCATTCAATAAGTAATGCCCGTGACCCATTTCCAGTGGTTTGATCTAGCTGATATTTTGCACGTGCAATTATTAATATGTCTATAGATTAAGTGGACAATTACAGCTCTGAACTATTTTCACTTTCTGATTTACAGGTGTTTGAATTTAGTCAAGTCTTAAATGGAGCCTGTTGAGTGTCAGGCAGTGATCCGCACACCACAGGAGACTTTTGATTTTTATTTCCCATCATATGGCCTTGTAAAATGCTTTGCAACACCCTATGATGGGGGTATTATCACCAAAAGTTACTTTAATTTAATCAAAAGCCTCTATAAAAACTGGATCGCTGTTCGACACTCAACAGGCTCCGTTTCAGACTTGACTCAGTTCAAACACCAGTAAATAAGAAACTGCAAACACTGCAGAGCTGTAATTGTCCACTTAATCTGTAGAGATATCAATAATTGCACGTGCAAAATTTCAACTCTATCAACAAGCTGGAAGTGGGTCAGAGACAATAGTTATTGAACGCCCCTCCTATAAAGAAACTGTTGCCTTAACACCACTTTTCTAAAGATATTATAACAAACCGGACATGCTTTCTAATCAGCCGTGTGTTAAAGCCTCAGTACCCTTAATTTTAAAATGAAGAAGTGAAGTTTGTAATAAATCCTGATTTTTTATATTTCAGTGAAAATTACTAAGAGACTAAATCCATTCTATCTAAACACATAATAGTTTTTTCACCATAAAGAAACAAAATGGAAGCAAAAAAATGTGACACACACCTGAATAATGCTGAATGTGTTGTTCAGTTTCTCCTCCTCCTCCTTTGTTTCCTCCGCCTTGCCTTTAGAAGGGTCCTGGTTGTTGTCATAGTAAACACCGAAGCTGAGGAAGACCTGCATCGAGCTGAAGCGGTTGTGGAAGTTGCTCAAACACATCTGATAGAAACCTGGAAGGGTAACAAGGTCAGACACGTGTAACTTCAGACGACAAGTACATTTTACAAGATTGGTTTGATAACTAATGTTATATCAGATGCAGATTACCTCTTTACATACAAAACACAGTTTTTAAATATTTATAGTTAATAATGTTGGAAAAACATCAACATTTGAATTCAGCTGTAGAATTTTAAGCAAATCTTAGAGATTGGATTAAGCCCAGTTCTTTTCTGAAATGAATATCATGCTGTTTATATTCTGCTTTTGAAATCTAGCTTTGATTAAATGACCAGATTTCTGAAATCAATCTGGGGACATTTCAGCTCGTAGATGAAAATAAATACATATAATCAAAATGAAAATAGGAAACAGGAACAGTGATGCTTTCATCCATTTTTACATATTTATTAATATTTAAAGAAAAATCAAGGGTAAAATCCCGGAATGTGCCTCTCCTATTTCCTCAGATTAATAAAATTCTCGATGGTGTTTATTATTGCCATCTGGTTATTCAGTCTCTGTCTTCTTCTCTCTCCATCTTTTCTTTCTAACTGACTCCTGCCTGCTTTCTGTTTAAAGCTTCTAAGTAGATTTTTCTTCCTTCTTTTCAAAGATCTTTCCATCAGTGTCCCTGTTTCCCTCCACTGTCATTCAATCTTCTTTCTATCAGTCTTTTTTTCTTCTTTCTCTTCTATCAATCTTACACTAATCTAAAACTGGGATTTAATAAAAACCAAAATCCCTTCCAAACACATAATCTCATCATACATTTTATGATTATTATAATGTTGATGATTATTATTTTTAATATTGTTGTTGTTATCTTATCTATTAAATACCAAAAAGGATAATCATTACAATATTTGGAGCTAAAAGTAAAAACAATCTAATAAATGCAGATTAAACAGGTGTTTATCTGTTCCTCCATCATTCTCAGATCATGCAGATCTTGTCTCATTCACTTTTCCTTTTACTGCCTCTTAGTAGTAGAAAAGTAGACCTAAGTCTATGCTCATAAATCACAACCATAAAAGAACAAAAAATCAACATATAACTCTACTTATATTACTTATTCGAAGATGTAAACAAAAGGTCACCAATCAGTTTTAAAAGCATGTTGTTGATCCTGGAGAACCACTGGACCAGATTAGCTTCTTATAAGGAGATTTCAATCATTTCATTTTATCTGAGTCTATTTCCTCCTGCCAGCCAATGGTGTGTCTTACTTTTGTTGATGAGCTATGTTTATGTTTTATTTCTGATCCTCATCTTTAGTAAAACAAAACACATCAAACCCTTTTTTTTATTAACCAGGGCACGAACCAAACATTTATCAAATTTCTCAAATCTAATGAACTGATTGACGCACTAAAATCGACCACCGTAGCTTTGATTTTAAGATAATCTTCAGCTTTTGAGTAAAAAAACGCAGAAAACTGAGACATACCTGTTTCTTCGACCTCAAAGTTGATCTGACCCTTTGCATCATCAACAGTAGATATCAACAGACTGCTGGGAGCATTGACAGTGACTGATAAATGCTTGTCAAGACCGATTCCCGTCACCCACTGGACCTTTAAACAGAATGAAACCCATTATTGTAGGACTGCTACCCATCACCGGATTCAATATGCACAATTCTGACAGTTTTGTCCTAAACGGTTCTTTGATATTGCAGACGTTTTTCCATATGATGAAAACATTTATTCTGTTGAAACAACAAAATCTGATTAATTAGTGACAGAGTATTTGAGCAGTAAGTGTTCATTCATTGTTGTTGAGTCACGAACTGTACTATAAAAGTGTGCCTACTCACCATGAAGTTCAGGTAAAACCTTTCTTTGTGGTGAGCAAAGTGCCAGAAGCATTCTGTGGCAGCTGCTGGAAGCACCACTGAGAAATCATACTGGTCAGCGCCCCAGAAGAGCTCCTGGTCGGTCATGTTGGAACGAGGCCTTGTCTGGGAGCCACAGTGAGCTAAAGCCCAAAACCAAAAGGCAAGAACAAAGGAAAAAGTCCCAAACCACATGGTGGAGAAAATGGGAGACAAGTAGCTATTCTAAATGAATGGTGGAGCAGAGAAGGTAATGTGTGGGAAAACCTGTGAATGATTAACTGGACCAACCAACTCCATCAGTGGGAATACTAGGTTGGCTGGGCAGATGGAGATAACTGGTCAATAGAGAGCCCCAGTTCCCCTTAGAGTTAGTCGTTCTTATAAAGGAGTGTGTGGAGCCAGTTTTTAATGCCAGATTAGACTAAAATGAGCTGCTTAGAGGGCGCTTAATGCCAGCTGACTCCTGCAGTAGCAGCCATTGCAAATGGCCCTTCCCAGTCAAACGGCAGCCGAATGGCAGCCCACTTCCAGCCGCTGGAGGGACCCCCTCTTGCCTTTTTTTTTTTAACTCTGACTCCATCCTTTTACTGAATTACATAGGCTAACCAGGAGAGGGTGCTTCTCTTTAGATGTCCACAATAACTTGTCTTAATATCCACAAATCATGACAGAATAATTTAGTACAAAGATTGGTGTTTAAAGAAGCAATCTTAGGCAACCAGCCAGGGGCCCATCAACAGAAGTGGGGACATTTTGAGTGGCTACTACTGTATAAAGTTGGTAACCTGGATGAGTACCAGCGAGCTCAGCTAAAAAGGATAAAAAGCTCAGACAAGGTCAGAGTTTTTTTGTTTTTTTTTGAAGCACAGAGCATGTAACCTTTTCCACTTATTATGACAATTTGGTGTGTCTAATAATTTGATAACCAGTTGCTAGAGTTCCAAATAAAAACTTTCCTTTCTTTTGCTTTCATCAGAGGTTCTTTTAACATTTCAGGTCAGACTCAAATCCTCAACTCTGAACTGATCTAGCCTATGGTTGGAAAATCTGAGTTTTCAGTTTCTCAAATGCTGCTGTTGGTTAGTTTTAATAAACCCACAGACAGTTGACCATGTGCATAACAAGTATGGTAAGTCATTATTAGTGGAGCACAGATTTGACGAGTCACCATGACAACAGGCTTATTTCACCACACCGGAACTAGAGATTTTAAAACAGAAATGAAAACGACAAATTGTAGAAAGTGTTTAAAAGAGAAACAGCACTACAGCTGCAAAGGAGAGGGATGATGCTCGAATTAATGCATAGGCTTATATGTAGTCGCTATGGCAGGCCATTTTAACATTTACTAAAAGCACTCTCCTCTGTGTTGTTCGATTTGTAGATCAATAAATAGGATTCTTCCTGATCAAAATCACCCTCCTAGTTGGAAATGTAGAATTAAGAAGAATTAAATTTCATATACCCAGAAATCTTTACACTTTATAATTTCCGTTTTGACATTTTGACATTTATCAGCATTTTGTATTTCAGATCCTATTCAGACAAACTAATAAATATCAAAACGGCCTGCCACAGTTTGTTCTAATTATGATAACATTAAGGGGAGAAACTAGTTTACTGGCTGAATGGCTGTATCAATATTTCATTTAGGTGAAATCTCACAGGAGAGAAGCACAACTGTCAGCAGGTGAAAATGAAGTATAAACAAGTTGTTTTAACAGGTAGGACCTGTGCATCAATTTATGGGGTTCCTCCTCATTTTACCTTTGTTTTCTAATACATATTAAATAAGTTTTATTAATCCCCGAAGGGAAATTCATTTTCGGGTACAGCCCGAAACTTGAGCTAGCACCTGGATAGCTCAAGTGTTAAGTCAACCGTCCTGCAAACAGGAAGCCTGGGTTCTGTTGAAAACACCGTCATTGTTTCCCCCCGGGTCCGTTAATTCGAGTGTAGGTAACTTCAGAGGATGTGAAATAAAATGACAGAGACAGCTCAGCTTCTGTTCACCTTTGCAAAGGGGAGAAGAGTTGCAGCCCACATCTGCAAACAAAACTCGGTCCCCTCTCCCCGCGCAGGCTCATTTTATTAATTTTTCTCAGGGAAAATCTTACAATTCAACACAAACAGTACATATTATTCACCCACTAATATTAAAACTGAAACTGTTGTCACTCAAGACCACAGTTTCAGCATTTAACTCCAATTTTGGTTTCATCTAATTAAAGGAAAGCTGTT